TGAATGATTCCAAGAGAGTATTCTTGCAAATGAAATTACTCTATTGTGACCACAATGCCCCTGAGACTCTTGAATAGTCAAAATAGGCAAAATAGTAGCACGCCTCATCAGTAGAATTTTTTTCTTCATTCCATTTTATGCTCAAACATAAAGAAGGGAGTCAGAATAAAGTGGTTGATGCATTGAGTAATTGCCACTTATTACTCACTGGGACGTAGACTATGGTTGTTGATTTTGAGATAATGAAGAACTTGCATGCAACTAATGAAGATTTTCATGATATTTGGATATGAGGCCTAGATAGGCCGTATGAGTAGTATCACAGATCAAGAGATATCTATTCTTCTAGAATAGATTATGCATACCTCGGAGTTCGCTCAGGTAGAACATTTCGTAAGAGTTTCACAATGAAGGAACAATAGAATATTTTGGCATAGATAAGACACTCTCCTTAATAAAAGAGAACTTTTACTCACCCATACTGGAACGAGATGTTATGAGACATGCCAGACAGTGATGGATATGTCATTTGGCTAAGACAGTAGTAAAGCTATACACTCCCTCCCAAATATAGAGGCACCTGGATTGGATGTGTGCAAGAACATTGTGATGGGCATTCCCCGAACACAGCGAAGTGAAGATTCTGTTGTGGTTTTGATAGACCATTTTTCAAAGATGATGGATTTTGTTCCTTGCTGCAAGATGATGGATGTGTCACATATGGCCGACTTACACTTTTAAGGAGATAGTTCGCCTTTATGGTATACCCCGGAGCATCACATCAGATAGTGGCGTGAAATTTTTCAGCCACTTTTGATGGACTTTGTGGGACATGGTAAGTACAAAGCTTCAATTCAGTTTAGTAGCTCTCTATCAGACATGTAGGAAAACAAAGATTGTAAACCATAGTTTGGGAAAACTTCCTAGGTGCTTCATGGCAAAGAATATGAAGCACTGAGATCTAGTTCTTCCTCAGGTAGAGTTTACCAAAAATCATTTTACTAGTCAATCCACGGGTCACAACATCTTTGAGATTGTATATAGGCAAAACCCGCTTACACATTTGGAGTTAGTCCCGCCACTGTCAACTATTAATCTTAACACTAATATCGAGGTTCGAGTGCGGGACATTTAAATCCTACAGAAGCAAATCAGAAAGGAAATTGGCGAGCAACATACTAAGTATCAGAAACAGACTAACAAATCCAAGAAGGCGGCATGATATAGATCAAGCTAAAGTAATGATTTCCTGCATGTTTATTTGGAAAACTCAAGCCTAGATTTGATAGTCCATTCATAAATTTTAACATGATTACTGATAATGCCTATATGATTGACCTGTAGGGAGACTATAATATTTATGATACTTTTAATGTTGTCGACTTTTCATCGTATTACAAGGGCCTGGATATCTCAAGAGGCAATGGAGAAGCTCCTCCTCCCCGGGGAGAGTGACATAGGATGCGAATTCCCACATACTACACAAAAGGTATAAGACTGTGTTTTCCATCCTTGGTGAATGAATAGGTGTTCTTGAATCAATCATGTTGATTTCAACAATCAAACTGCTAAGGTCTCCCCAATATGATGTGATAGGCATCCATGAGCACCACATCACATCACACCTGATCGTGTAGTTAATTTCCAATGGAAAACTCCACGAGGCATCTCCTGTTAATATTGCCATTGTTCTTCTTCAATCACGTTAGGGAGTACGGTTGGGAATGCCTCTAAATCATGAGTCTCAACTTGTCCACCATCTATAGAGATGTCATGTTCTAGTTGCTCCTTCTTGATGATGGGATTGCATACATTTCACTTTATCATGCAACGGGTGTGAAATATGTTGTGGCAAAGCTATTGCTGCTACCTCGCAGCCTTAGTCTGAATGCCCTATTGAACCACAAGCATCTTGTCGTCTTTTGATGAAAGCCAGTACACCTCACCCAGTTCTTCAACTATCACCTTGTCACCAACCTCCACAGCATTGTGCTCGGTGAAGGACAGAATTCGTCTATTCGGGCAATTAGAAGTGATGTGCCCATAAACATGGCATCTGAAGCATTTCCTAGCTAGAACAGCATTGGGGGTGTTAATTTTCTCGAGCTTCTTCTCACTTTGGGCAACTCTATCATTCTTTGGAGATCTTCTTGACTCATGTAGGTGTACTCCTACTCATGTCTCCAATTGTGGGTGGTTGTCTGAATGGAAGTAGGTGTCTATTCTGATTACATTATCTCTCCACTTTTAGCATTAAGGTTTGAACATATTCCAAGGACCAATAGAGTTGTAGAACCGCGTAACTAATGAAGAGCTTCAAGCTTCCCAAGTAATTGACTATCGTGTACTCCTTTGGCTCAGTCAGATCACATTTCAGCTTATACTGTATATAGTCTACTGTGCAATTCTCCACTGATAGGTCCCTCTCTGTAAGTAGTGGAGCCCCAAGAAAAGATCATATCGACAGTTTCGGGATAGATACTACGTTGCAACTCTCTCTTCATCATCTCCTAGGTAGTAATCTTGATCTATCCTTCTCTTTTTTCCACCTCTTCAAGTTCTCCCACCACAACGAGGCGCTCTTCTTCAGCTTGATAACAGTTAGTTTCACTTTTCGGTCATTTTGCACCTCTGTGTATTCAAAGACCCTCTCAACAATTTGCAACCACTCTATGAAATCATCCAGGTTCATTCTCCCCTCGAAATCTGGTATGTTCACTTTCACTCTCGAGCCTATGTACCCTTCAATGGGCTCTTCATCACTGTATTCTCCAATAGGCACTTCATCTTTGCATCCTGTAACAGATACTTCATCTTTGTATCCTAACAGCACTTCATCTCTATATCTTCTAACAGACACTTCATCTCTCGAACTCCTTTGATATTGTATACTAAAGTATTGTGGCTTGTCTTCTTCTCCACTGGAATCATCCTTACGAAATGAATTCAGGTATTCCTCCCTTTCCTCTTTGGATATCACTACCATGCCTGTTGGTAGCCTCTCTATGTGTGCTTTCCTCAATGTCTTCGAGTCGTTGTAGCACCCGGCGAAGCTATCACTGTAACTCTTTCATGGTGAACTCCTGATCAATTTCAAGAAAATGCCTCTACAGGAAGAGAGTAGCGGGAAGAAGTGTAGGGGTGCTGTAGAGTGAGAAAAATTTAGGGTGGAGGTAGGTTGGGCATGGATGGATGCTAGAAACTTTATAGTATGACTAGGGCTAGGCTAGCTCTGATACCAAATGATACCGAAGTTAACCCAAACAACAACATCAATTAAATAATTTTATTGAAAAAGCTAATAGATGATTATAGCCATCACACATGAAAAGAAAAATAATAACAAACAAATAAACTCAACTAAAGCATACACCAAGGGTGGTGACTGGTGAAGGAGGTAGGGAGTTGGCCGTGGGTGTGATAAGGGAATAAGAAGTGGTGATGGTCGGCATGGAGAAGGTTGGCGGTTGTGGACTGCGATGGGTCGGTTGCAAGTGGCTGGGACAACGATTAGGTGGTAGGGAGCTGGTTCAATAAAGTTGGAACAGCAGCTAGGATGTAGGGGAGGGGGTTCTAGGGGGGCTGGGACAGCGAATAAGTGGAAGTAGAGGGGTCGACTAGGCCCTGAAAGGCGGCGATGAGGGATGGAAGCAAGGAGGGAGGAGGCAGCGTGGTAGGGGACTGCAGTAAGTCAAAGAGGTAGCTGCAGCGAATACGACGACCGTAGCAGCGAAGGGAAGGTTGTGGAGGATGTGGTAGGTCAAGGATAATCACCACCTCGAACGAGATACATCCGGAACTTCACCCGTTCTCGGTTGTCCTGACAGAAGACACAACTAAAACTAACCTAGACACAATGAAAATAACATATATAGATCTAGGACAACTATGGAGTGGACCCCACTACACACAGGCGGCAAATCCATGTTTGGAAGGACCATTTGGTCCCTCTATCTAAATCGAACCGGCCCAGATCAAGAGATGAGGCATTTTGCCGCGCCTCGACGTTGGACGCTTTGCGCAAACAGTTTGGCATTACACAAATGAAGCCAACTCAAGTCAAACACAATCATGTGAAGAACAAGATTGCAGCATCAATTTATCAAATTCCCCAACCAACCCACAAACAAACAACAATAAAATAATATAAAATTGATGTCCAACAGCATTAACAAAAAACTTATCTAATGACTTACTAGATTAGGTACTATAATAAAAATGATATAATAGAATAGTGTATATGAAATGATTAAATCATTAATCCACGCTGGAGAAGGTCAAGAATCCCCATGAAAATGAAATCCCACTTAAGAGTTCACTTGCGTGCTAGTCTAGTTAACCATTACAAGCACTGCAAAATACCACAGCCTCTTTTAGTTCATGAAAAAATAATTCTGCATGAATACCAATAAGGATCATTAAATAAATTGTCCTTCACCCCCAAAGCAAAATGAAAATGAATGAAGGCACATAAATTTGTCAAGTATTCAGCAGTTTAAAATTTTGCACAAGTATGGAACCTAATAGAGCAAAAAAAAATGTATCCATTGAACAAATTAATGAAAAAAGTCTTTGAACATATTTCTTGTTAAGTTATGAGGTATATTAGTGAAATGAATCCTTTTCTTTTTCTATTCAGAAAACTAGCAATAATAAATAAAACGATTAAATAAATTTAAGGGAAATAAAAATTTCTCCTTTAAAAAAGTATGACCGTCGCTTCTTTGACGGCATCATACAAAAAGGTTCATTTAAAATAGGCTATTCATAGAGAAAAATTCTTTGACAGTATCCTTTAAAGGTTCCCTGCCTAGGACAGACCCATAACAGCCAAGATTTGGAACCACAAGTTCAGCATTTAGCCATTTCTTATAGTGATGCCTTAGGTTATATAGAGCAATCCAAAATGGAATAAAACTGAAGTAAGCTTGCGTGCTTCAAGATTTTTTTTTTTTTTTTTTTGAATGCCAACACTGCCACCAATCAGAACAAAGACTTACATGTTGTTCAGATGAACTCATTCTGAGCATTGCAGCGGTATCCTCATTAGGTTCTTCCCAAAAATGGGTACTTTTGTTTGTTATTGTTGGGCCAATCACGTGCTTCATCATCAAATCCGCCACCTTTGCCAGGCCATAATCCAGAAAATCTGCAATCTTATTTTGGAATAGGCTGTATCAGTAAGAACATATAGGGAAATTGGATACAATTACAAGTAACAACAATAAAAAATTTAAGCAGGAAATCACATAATCAGACGCATGAAATCAGCATGAAGCCAATCACAAAAAGCTTAATAAATGATTATCATTGTTAGCATTATACCATGATAAATCTCCAAATTCCGTTAGTTTACAAAATTGTCTCGATAAATATTCCAAATTCCATTAGGTTACAGTATTACATTTTAAACTAATCATCATAATAGTTAGCATTATACCAACTATTTAGTGTCAAATTGTTCTACATTCATTACTGTTTAGAAATGGCATGTGATGTTGATTCGATCTTTCTTCATTTCAACACAAATTTACCAGGATGATGGTTCTGTATAGGTTAATGACAATGAGATAATAAATTTGGCATAAATATTGCAAGGTCTTGAAACATCTATACTACAAATGGAATATCTTGCCCAATACCAAAACGGTGTGATTTTCCAGCTTTTATTATGTGAGAATTAAAACACTTACTAAATTTTTCAGGACTATTCTAACCAAACCAAGCCTTAAACTTCCAGAAAAGAAATGATAACATTCAAATCTATATGGTAAGTCACTATAAAACTTAATAGCATTACCTATAATCAACATCAGCTTGGAACCATCCAAATTAAAACTAATTTTTATCAAAGCACATAGGTGACGTATAAGAGATATAATGTCCTAACAATCAAAGCACGAAAAGTCAATCTAAGCACTTGTTTGAGTGAAAAAAGTTGCTAAAATAGAAATCATAATTTTATTAAGAAAGCACAACTCAATGGCAATGAATGAGTTTATAGATGATAAAATGTTGGAGAAAAGTGTGCTGTTAAGAACAAAGTTGATCACAATGATGTGAAAAAAGACTTTCAAGTAAAGCATCAGAAAAAGAATACAAGAAAATTTATGTGGTTAAGTAAGATATAAATGTTCATTAATCCAGAGATAAAAATAAGTCACAAATATTTACCCTTAAACAATTTTTTTTATTATACCACACAAGTTTTCTCATCTCTCCCTCACTCTTATCTCTATTCCAAATTTCAGCATGATTCCTCCATCTATTATATTCACCAGAGATAGAGAAAAGCTTGTCACCTCTTATGTGAAATCAAATCTTATCAGCTTCTATACAATCATCAATTTCCCCTTTGAAAGACTTACAACTTCCAAATGCACTTTTAGCTCTTCAATGGTCTTTTTTAGAGAAGTGATGCATTGCAATCATTGATCTCCACTCCTTTTGTGAAGCACCATGTGATGGAAGATTACGATGGCGGTTATAACCACCCAACAAAAAGCTCTATTCCATGAAACCAATCAATATATATATTAACCTCCGATCACTCCATTGGTTACTCTTTGACCTCCACCTACACTTGGTTGAAAGAAAGAGAAGTGATGCATTGCAACCATTGATCTCCACTCCTTTTATAGAGCACCATGTGGTGGTAGAAATGAATAAGTAAGTGTGAATAGGTTCTTGAGTTCAACAGCCATCAATCTCAAAAAAATTTACAAAACAAAAGAAATCTTATACAATACTTCAATATCAAAGTGTTTAAGGCACTTAATCTAAATTGATCATCATATTAAATTATATTATAAAAAAATAATCAATATCCATGTTTGTTACATTTCAACAAGTTCCAAATCATGCCAAATAGATTCTCTTAAATAGAATACCATACAACATAAAATTATGTAAATGATTACATTACCGTTTAAAATTAGGCAATCTGAGGTGCACCTAGAAGCCTGTCTCAGCACTATTCCAAAGAAAAATGCTTCAACGCATACACCTCAAGCTACTTACACGAGGTGTATGCCTCAAATTGGTTGAGGAGCGCCATGAGGCACCACCTACCCAATTCCATTCACTAAGGGTTTTTTCCCTACAATATGAACCAAAGCTACACTTGCACGAGCAAGATCTCCCCTCTCCCCAATCAGGCTTCTTAGCATAGCATCTTGTTGCTTTTGCCACATGCATTGCTATCGCCGCTAGCTGCTTTTGCCGCAAGGACAACTGTCGCTACTTGTTGCTTTCACTATAGCAACCACCTGCTTCTCCTACTATAGTTGTCTGTTGCTTCTGTTGTAACCACTAAAGTGTTGCTCCTGTTGTCACTGCCGCCAGCTGCTCATGTTGTCATTGTCGCCACAAGTTACTCCTATTGTTGCAGTTAGATCCTCCTATTACCGACGTCCCCTGCGACTCCAATTTTTTATCTTTTATTATATTCTTCTTTAGATTTATGGATGTTATTAAGTTGGTTGGATGCTAGGAGTGAGAGAAGTCAACTATGTTAAACTTATCTTACATTTTTTTTTAACATTTTATGTTACTTTCATTTCAAGTTTTATGTTTGTTAGATGACTTAATCAGTTGCTGACATTATGCATTTTTTTGTGCAAGTTATTATATGATATTTTATGGCCAATGTGAGTTGTTATTTCATATAAACATAATTTGTCACATTTACCATGCTAAAATATTAATATATTTTTATAATAAATATACAAGTTATGATGTTAATATGTCATTTCTACCCATTTATTTTGACTTATACAATTTTCAAATTGTGATGCTTATGCCTCAGATTGCTTCGAAACTTAAGCCTCACATCACGAACAAAAAACACTTAAATACCTAAATGTGCAATTTTAAACATTGGATTATATTATTTAAGTTGTGGTCTGCAAATACTATGTATAATATATTTTTCACAGCTATCTATTCCATTTTTAACAATATATATTTTGTTCTCTACATCACTTATTTTGTAACCCTTCATCTTTTTCATGCTCTACTTGTACAAAACTTTTTATCTTCAAAAGTCATTGATCAAAAACTTGAAACTCTTGTGACTATACAACCTTATTTTTCCAACTTCAAATGCACTTCAATATAATGCCAAGCGAAATATTTATTATTAAGAAACATACTCATCCTTTGTGTTCGTCGCAATATCACTATGTCTCTAATCAAAACAAGAATAGCCTCACTAACTGACACCTAAAGACATGGTGCAGTCAAAACAACTCCTTAGGGATGAAAATTGTCCAGGTAAATGCCTTTTTATAAGCATTTTCCTAGGTAACACTTTGTAATTGAAGGTTCTTTCATTGGTACTAGACGATACCTTCATCTAAAAACACAATGTTAATGGAGCTCGCTTGACAGTTAGATGCGCTCTCCAAAGTAACACTTTAGTAGCAATAGATTAGTTAACAACAATTTCCAAGGAATAATAAAATATGGAATCATATGGGAGGTGTACAAGATTTTATGGCACACCTTACCTTACCCAAGTGCCAAAGCGAGCAGCTAGTTTGCCTTTAACAGCATTAATTTTTGCTACAATTTTAAGATTTCTATAACAATAACAAAATCTCTTATAACTATAACAAAAATCTCTTCAAAAACTTTGATGTGTTCTCAGGATTTGTTGATTAAAAGATTTCTTATGATGCTTAATTTTTCATAAAAATGATCCACATTCAGACTAATATCCTTGCAACTATCAGTTATACTCACTCATGTCTCTATGATGCTATATTAGGTATCAAGTAAATCAGCAGGCAGACATCAACCAAATACATCTTGGATTTCAAGAAAGACTCAAGTGTATCTAGAAATAAATTGTAGAATAGTTTACTACCATAAAAAGAAAATATTCAACTATAAACTATAATTCATTGTTGGGGTTTAGTACATGGAAAAAATATTTTCTCAGAAAATATGACTACATAAAATTCCAAGAAAATCATATATCTTATAGTCATGCAGCAGCAAAACAAAAACAGGCACAAACAAACGTCCTGGTGTTTATAGGAAAAAAATGATCACCTCCATAGCTTCCAATACTCTACGCAACACAAGTTCATTTGTTTTCCCGCTTCTGAACGTGGAGCTGACAGTCATTGCACCATTTGCAGGATCGAAATGGATCATACTTTCCACACTCCGCGAAAGTACGCATTGCAACTACAAGAAAACAATATGCTTAAACCAAGTTCACCATGCTTTCAAGAAAAGAGAAATAATTCCATCGGCATACTTCATCAAAGCACTCCAACCACTCCTTCCTCAAGAATCCAAATACAGCTGGCTCTTCCACTCCGCAATCCTCATCCCCCTGGCCGGACACCCGTAGCACCATCTTCAAATCCCTCGCCGCCACTGCCGCCTCTACTAAGTTCCCTACCCTAACATCCTCCCTCACAAAATTCAATCTCTCAATCAAGCTAGATATTGTGCCCACAACACCCAGCGCCACCCTCCGCTCCTCCAGCTCCCGCCTCTTGTTCCCAATTTCCCTGGCGAGGTCGCAGATCTGGCGGTCGACCAGGTCGTTTGAGAGGAGGCGGAGCACGTCAGCAAGGGCGGCAGCTATATCATCGGCTCCGGCGGCGGATATAGCGCAGCGGGAGAATAAGTCGGCGAACTCACGGTGATGGGAGAGAACGTACTCCCGAACTTTGGATTTGATGTGGAGGGAACGAATTTCGAGGCGTTCAATTAAGAGGCGAAGGTCGGGAGCGGAGAGTGGGGAAGTCTCGTCGAGTTCCTCAGTGGGGAGGAGCTCCCGGATGTCGATCGATCCAAGGAGGACATCCATGAGATCTGGATACAGGTTTCAGGGTCTCGGCATCACAACCAGTTGAACTACGATGGCAGGTTACAGACAGCGGCGCAGGGCTTTTCGTTTTGTACTAGTTCATCTCGTCCTTCTCCTTAACGCCATCTCTTCACTTGGAAAAGACTTGCAATGGCGAAAAAAAATTTAATAGTGCCGAGCTCTTTGAATTTATTTACGATAATTTTTTCTGAGCACTCGATTATCAAGTTTAGACAATATTTTGGTTGATTTTATTTGTTTTTTTAATCAACTATTTACATAGGCATTTAAAGAAAAATATTAGTTTTGACATCGTTTAATGTTATTTTGGCTCTTTGGCAATATTTAGGTAAAATCATGCTCAAAACCTCCCACAAAACAACCCTAAGTTTGTTTTTGCAATGTGTCTTTCATTTGTAGTAGATCTTGAAGCATCATTGCTTTTTGGTGCAGAGGTGGTTGTTGTAGCATGGGCTGAAGCACGGATACACACAACCTTCTGTGCACGGATACACTTAACCTTCTGTGTAGAACTTACATTGGATTATTTATTAGGAAGATTTACATGGATGACACTCAATTCCTACGTATTTACATGTCTAACAAATAAACTTTAATTTTTACATGCATACTACCTTCTTTATGTATAATAACGTGTATTTCATTTTCTAAATGTTAAAATTGTGGTATTTTTTATGTGTTGTGAAAGATTTGGGCGGTGAAAATGTAAAAAAGTAAAATTTAGGTGTTAGATACGTAAAATCATAGGAATTGGTTGGCATATATGTAAATGCCCTTATTTATTAACCTTCCTCATATAATTCTTGTTTCCACGTGTAACCTAAACTTTTTGTTGTGTTTGGAAATCTTCATACATATTGAATAAAAATATTTTCAGTAGATCTCACCCAAGGTATAGAGCGTTAGAAGGATGAGAGAAACATATAGACAGGGGGAGAATAAAGTGCACAGTAGCGCCAGTTTTGAATGAGTAAATTCAGTACTGCTTTATTTGAGAAATAACACCCTATTTATAGATTCCAGAGTTATCTAGTGTCATATTTCTCAGTGTTTTAATGTGGATGTCAGTTTTGAATGTGTGCACGGTAACGCCAGCTTTGAATGAGTGCACGGTAACGCTAGCTTTGAATTGAGTGCACAGTAACGCCAGTTTTGATTAAACTGCACACTAATGCAAGTTTTGAATGAGTAAATTCAATAATCCTTTTTTTTTTTGAGAAATAATCTCCTATTTATAGATCCGAGAGATATCTAGTGTCATATTTCTCAGTGTTTTAATTGGAACGCTAGTTTTGAATGAGTGCACAGTAATGTCTGTTTTGAATGAGTAAATTTAATAATTCTTTTTTTTTTTTAAATAATCATCTATTTATAGATTCCATAGATATCTAGTGTAAAATTACATGTTTCTCAGTGCTTTAATGGGGACGTTACAAGTTATTATAATACATTTTCATATTTGTAATTAATCCCGACACCCTTTCATATTCATAATTGATATTAGCTCTATTTCGTATTCATAACTACTTGAAGAGGGGCGTCTGATGACCCGATAAACTAGTTTTTTGGTCAGTTGAAAGTGTTTGGTCAACCGATAGGCATTTAGTCGATAAGTAGACATTTGGTTGGCTGAAAGGTCATCGGTCGGCTCTTTCTAGGGAAACTTGAGTAGAAACCCTCCTGTTGTTAGGGTGAACTTGGGCCTTCAAGTAGAGAGTATTTCACTAGAATCTGATATGCAACTCTCTTAATTAAGGGGCCTTCTTAAAGAATCAGAAAGGCGTTTTGGGGGGTGCCTTTCGAACATCTTTGTGGGGAGTTCTGGAATCGGCTGAGAGAGCTGGTCTAAAATGACTATCCCTCAGATTGGGCTCCTTCTATTCATTTGCCTACTATGCTTCTGTTTGGTTGACTCATAGTTTCGACCATAAGAAACGACTATTAATATTTCTGTCTTTTGACTATCCCGTTACACTGTCCTTTGATGTTCTTAAGAGATGTCCATTAGATTTCCTCAAGATCTTTGCGGACATGCTTTTGATGTACATATTTAGTCCCATAATTCTCTTGCTTTTTGAAAGTGACTTCTGCGATAAGAATAAGAAAATTAAATGAAAATTTTGATTTATCACATAAAAAATACTTATAACAATTGAACATTATGGATTTTCATGCTCTTAGTCTCTATAAATAGAGTATGATCAATAGTTTTCAATCACTCTTTTCTGAAATTTCTGTCCTCGAGCTGGTTATTAGCGAGGGAGATAGTTATGTTGAGCAGCAAAAAGTCACCTGTAAATGGGGCAATATTGATGAAGGCTATTGGACTTTCAACTGAAAAATTATGCGCTCTTAAGAACTTAATGGGAAATCAAAAACTGAAAAGTAGCTTGTTCGTTGTAAATAAGAAGCACAGGGTTGAGGGCCTGCCAACAATAACAAAAAGGTTGGAGGGAGAAGGTTGGCGGGTAACAACAAAAAGGTCAAAGAGAGGTGTCTGGCCAGTCAGTACAAAGATACCTTAAGGTGGGAGTTGATTAGAGGGAGAGAAGTGGGTCAAACAAGTGACTTATAGAAAATGAAGGGTAGATGGACTGGAGGAGGCGGTTAAGTCATCCGACTTGATGTTGCTCCATCGTGAGATGAGGAGTAGGTCAAACATGCTCTCTATTAGTGGGACGGTGATGCGGAGTTTTTGTTTTGTGTTTATTTTGTAAATATTTTTCAGTAATACAAAACAAACACATCAACACTAATAATAAATATGTAATTCAATCGCTATAGAAATAACTTTAGTAAAAATAATTTTATCTTTTAAAATCTTCAAGACCTATAATAATAATGCAAATATACGTATCACGCAAGTAATAAAGGACTCTAATGGAGTCTTAAGTATCGATCCCACAGGAAAGTTGGAAATTCTTATGATTATAATGTAAAACATAAAATTCAAACTACAAAACTTAAGTGTGAAATTCAAATCCAAAGTAATTGAGTGTATGCTAAATAAAATGCAGTTAAAAGAACTAAGTTAACTAAACTAATTTCCAAACTTCAAAAGTAAACTTATAAAACTAAACAAAGTTTCTGTGACAAAGAGTTCAAATTTAAGAAAGCATCTCTCCCCATACAATGAGTATATGGATTATGAAAAAATTAAAATCATCTAAAATTATATATATAATTGCCTTGTGTCAAATAGGAGCAATTCTATTATTTACCCTCTTTCAAGTGCATAAGAACATTTATTAATCCAATGTTTAGTCCCTAATTCCGTGGTTAGTTTTGGAGGATATCGGCTCTCACTCCAGAGCTCCCATTTCTCCCTTGCCTGAGAGCTAACAATCTTGCATTATTTTCCAATCAACTAGACCAAATTAGGGATTATAATCTGTCACCTTAGAATCTTCAATTTTGCATCCAACAAAATATATTTCAATATTTATTTTCACTCAACCCAATAGATTACATTCTCACCCAAGGAATTGAATGTGACTATCACCATGTTGTAGAAATCATAGCCCTTTTAGATCATATTTTTCTCAACACATTTTAATATTTCAATTGTCCAGATCAAAAAGTAAATGAAGATCAGAGTTTAAATCACCACAAATTATTGACATTTAAAACTATATAAAATAAAATCAATTCTTCACAAAACCATATCTCAGAGTGGGGTGAAGGATAAGGAAGACTACTAATAATTTATGAGAAGGAAACAACAAAACACGGATTTAATATATAAAAATAAGCTTACAAAATAAAAGAATAAAAGATACAATTTATCTCACACTCCTTCCCAAGCAAATCCCAAGAAATTCTCCTTAAGCATTTTTCTCTTGACAAGTACTCTCAGTTCTCTCTTAGAAATATAATGAAGAAGAAATCTCTCACTTTCCCTCTCATCTTATAATCTTAGAAGAAATTCTCCAAGTCCCTCTCTCTCTCACTTGCCTCTCGCCTCTCTCTTCTCTTGTCACCAAACCTCTCTCTCAGCCCTAGACTCCTCTCCTATTAATTAGTGGCTACCTCATCTAAAAAAGAATTCAAAATTCTCTCTCAAATTCTCTCCAAAAGTCACATCTTTTGAATTCCAAAAGACATTTACATTCATTCAAGAGACATATCCTTTCATTAAAGAGCCTTCCAAAGTGTCTAGATGCATTGAATCACTCTTGACACATTTGAAGCCTTCAAAATCTACTCAAAATTCATCTCGAACTGCCTTAATCCATAAAATATCGTCTCTGCTGCTTCAGGCGCCAGTTCTGGTGCTTCAAGAGCCAAGTTACTTAAGTCCGCACTGTTTTGGGTCATGTCACTTTAAGCACCGATTCTGGAGCTTCAACTGTTGTACAATGGTGTTTCAAGTGCCAGTTCTAGTGCTTCAAGCGCCAGCTCTGTGGAAAATGATGCTTCAGGCCCCAGAATTGCACAGTTCTCTATTTTTGCACTAAATTTCCTCCTTTTTGCTACTTTTGCTCCAAATGCCTAAAATTGATATACCTGCAACTTTAAAGTGTAATATCATAAAAAATAAGCATAAAATGTATACTTAAAATAACAAATTATTTTGGTGTATCAAAATCCTCTAATCTTAAATGTTGTTTTCAAGTGAATCTTTTACTACATAAAAATATGACTTAGGATAAAGATTAACTTATAAACCTCTATACTTTAGTTTAATAAATAAAATAGTATAATTTAAAAAAAAAACTTTTATAAACTTAGATTAAATCTATAAGTATAAGAATACTTAGTAATGAAATCTAAGATTTTTGTATCTCCATTCAATTCAAAAAGAATTGTAATTTATTATATTAAGGATACCTATAATATCCATATGAAAAAGAATTTGATGAAAAAATTACTATTAAGGGTGCTAATACAAAAATACAAGTTTAGAAAATGTAATAAAGCCTTTTCCTCAAATTGATTCAAGTGAAGTTATTTTTTTATTAGACATCTCCTCAAGTTTCTCCTCACATATATATTTT